GTTAGATTACCTGTCAGGGCACATGCCCGGGTTTCAGGCTTGATCCCCAGTAGGGGGCCTGCAGGAGGCAGCCGATCAATGACTCTCATCATTGATGTTTCTCTCTCTCTCTCCCTTCCTTTCTCTGAAATCAATGAAAACTTTTTTTTTTTTTTAGAAAGAGGTATTATCTTGTATGTTATTGGCTTGTGAATTATAATTCCCTCAGTGAACCTGTTCTAAATAATTTGCAGATAGAGACAAAAGCGGTTTCTGGAGCATAATTTTGCTCCCTCTCCCAAAACAAAATGAAACTTATATATATATATATATATAAATATTTATGTGTACTTGGTTCAAGGTACATGTATTTCTTTTTCTTTTTTTTTTTAATATATCTTTATTGATTTCAGAGACAGGAAAGGAGAGGGAGAGAGAGAGAGAGAAACATCAATGATGAGAGAGTCATTGATCGAGCCTGCAATCCAGGCATGTGCCCTGACTGGGAATCGAACCCCGATCGCCTGGATCCCAGGTCGATGCTCCACCGATGAGCCCCGTCCGGCCGGGCCAGGTACAGTGTATTTCTTACCGTCAGTCCTGGTCAAAATCTTACAAAAACAATGCGGTAGAGAAAGTTCTGCACACAGTCATCAGTGGACAGGCACAAAAGTTCAGGGCTCCATTCTGAGAGCGAACATCGGAAACCATCCAGATCCACAAAGCATGTGGTCTTTTAAACGACGGGATGCTATGCAACAGTGAGTGAAAGAAATAGTCTTGCTTTTATGTGGATGAATGCCAAAAGCGAGTCAAGTTCAAAATCGAACAAAATAAGGTATTCCATAGTGATACACACACGTGGCAAATCTACAAGGAAAAACATGGGAAGGCGAGATGGAATTCGGAAAAGTAGTGATAAAAACGTAAGGCCATCAATGCGACTAAAGGTTTGGGGAACTGTAGTGTTTCTCAGCTGATGTGCCACATTCACTGCCCTGGAACAAAGCGCCCGCATCTGTTTCTCGATCTCCGCCCCGTCCCAACTCCTAGGGTAGCCTTCGGGGCCTAGCTAGTTATTTATCTTTGAAGGTCTGAACCAACTGGCAGTGTGCTGTCTGTGTAACACACGCTCTAACCGGCGGGTGACTTCCAGGGGCGCCGCCCCGAGCTCCCCGCAGCGCCCCGCCGCCGGGGAGGGAGCGCCCCGCGGCTCCCA